CTCTCTCTCAGTACTGTCTCTCGCTCTCTCTCTCTCTCTCTCTCTCTCTCTCTCAGTACTGTCTCTCTCTCTCTCTCTCTCTCTCTCTCTCTCTCTCTCTCGGTACTGTCTCTCTCTCTCTCTCGGTACTGTCTCTCTCTCTCTCGGTACTGTCTCTCTCTCGGCTTAGCTGAACTGTATGTAAACTGTGCACAAGCTCGGTCGCCAGGCGCTTTGCTCCGGGTCAGCACCGCACCGTACAGAGTGGCTGTTCATTAGTAGCAATACCATTAAGAAAGTAGAAATACTTAAAAATATAAATAAATCCAGAGTAGCAATACTCCCGCTGTTTAAGCTTCCCACCGGAAGCAGAAACGCTCCACCTAGCCACACCTGGTTAGCTAGCTGTCACCAGCTACATGTAGCTTCACAGACAAATATCTCTGGAGCATGGAGACTGTCAGAGCTTCCACAAAACCAGAGGAGAGCCTACAGACCTGCCCGTGTGGCAACAAAATTTCAAGTCGCAGGGCAAATCATGCAAAAAAACTGTGACTTATAGGGCGAAACATACGGTAAATGGTGTTTCCATGTTTTAGTTAAAATGCATCAGAAATACAAAGAAGTACCAAAGCTTTCCTACAGTCTGCAGTTTTCTTTGTTTTCACGAGGTTAATGAGTCTTTACTTCATCTCTCCCCTCTTTTGTTTGAGACACTTGTGCAGACATAAATAAGCTTAAAACAAACAGAACAACTGTTCTTCTGGACTATACATATATATTTTAAATGTAAAATGTTTAACCTCCATATGAAAAAAAAATTGTTTGAATATAAAATACTAGACAAATTGTGTAAAAATAGTATTTGTTCATTTTTGAAGTTCAGCAAATTTAAAACTTTTGATAAAAAAATTTATATTAATAGTAAAGCAAAAAACAAAAAATAACATTTATTAAACTGAGTCCAAATGAACCTGATTGCATCATTGGTTTTGTCCTTTCAGCCCCAGTCGTACCGAGTGAGTACTTTTCCTTTATGGTTCTGCTTCTCTTGCAGTTTTTCTCTCGTTAGCCTTTGAATCAGTTTTTTGCATCATTAGTTCGGTGTACGTCCGTGCACAGACATGTAATAAAGTCAATTAACTACTGTTTTGGGTGATTTGTGTGGTCTTTGGGTAATTTTCTGACTTGTCTGAAACGAGCTTTAGGGCTTTCATCTTGAAGATAGTGGTGTGCTTTTATTCTCAAGGTGTTTTCTTTTTTTTTTCTAGGTTTGATGTTCAGCTTTTAAGAAAAAAACAATCATTAGTCATTTTCTTCTGTTTACTGGCAAGAGCATCTCAGTTTAACAACTATTTGTTTCCTTTTCGTTTCCTCAGATATGTCGGACCAAGTGTTACGGGTCTTCAAAGCGGACCAGCAGTCTCGATACATCATGATTGGGAAAGACACGACAGCTAAAGAGGTGGTGGTCCAGGCCATCAGGGAGTTCGCCCTGACTGCAGCAGCAGAGGCCTATTCATTATGCGAGGTGTCCGTCACCCCGGAGGGCGTCATCAAACAGAGGCGGTTACCAGATCAACTCTCTAAACTGGCTGACAGGATTCAGCTAAGTGGAAGGTAAAGTTAGATGAGCCAAGTACCTTCAAGCTCTTGACCAAAGTGGATCTACCTTTATCCACCTTATTCCTATCCCCCATGCTGCTTTGCATGAATTATGGGCACGACTTCCGGCGCCGACCAGAACCAGCATTTGGTTCTGTGCGAACAGTACGAGCTAATGTAGTATCTCCGAGCGTTGTGGATTTAATTTAATGTAGGAACACCACCTGTCAGAGCTCAAACAGGACAATATGATCAGACCGCTGCCTGATGAGGACGAGGGATGGAGCACGAGCTGAAGAAGTGGCTGCAGATTACATCTACTAGCATATTTAGCTACATCTACTAGCATATTTAGCTACATTTCCTAGCATATTTAGCTACATATTCTAGCATATTTAGCTCCATCTACTA